GACACATAGTCATCAGATTCTCCAAGGTCAAAATGAAATAAAAAATGTTAAAGGCAGTTAAACAGAAGGGGAAGGTCATCTACAAAGGGAACCTCATCAGGCTAAGGGCAGATCTGTCAGCAGAAACCCTACAAGCCATAAGAGATTGGGGGCCTATATTTAGCATTCTTAAATAAAATAATTTCCAACAAAGAATTTCATAGTCATTAAAACTAAACTTAATAAATGAAGGAAAAATAAGATCCTATTAAGACAAGCAAATGCTAAGAAAAGTTATTACCACTAGATCTGTCTTAAAAGAGGTCCTGAAGGAAGTACTAAATACAGAAAAGAAAGACCATTACCAACCACTACAATAACACACTTACATACATAAACCAGTAAAACTTGAATGTAAATGGGCTAGCCCCAATTAAAAGGCACAGAGTGGTAAGTTGGATAAAGAAGCAAGATTCAATGGTATGTTGTCTTCAAGAGACCCATCTCACATGAAATGACACTTATAAGCTCAAAGAAAGGGATGGAGAAAAATATACTAAGGAAATGGAAAACAGAAAAAGCTGCAGTTGCTATTCTAATTTTAGATAAAATAAACTTTAAAATAATAAACATAAAAAAGACAAACAAGAGCATTACATAATAGTAAGGGTTCAATACAACAGGAAGACCTCACTGTGATATACATATATGATATATATACTTCTTGTTGTATGTTGTGTGTATATATATATATGTATATATATACAACATACAACACCCATATATACATACAACAATCTGGATAGAAGCACCCAGATTCATATATCATATAACATATATATATATAAAACATATATGTCATATATGAATCTGGGTGCTTCTATCCACATAGAAACACCCAGATTCATAAAGCAAGTTCTTAAGGACCTAAGAAAGAGACTTAGATAACCACATAATAATAGTGGGAGATTTCAACACCCAGCTGACAGCATTAAATCATCAAGACAGAAAACCAACAAAGATATTCGGTGTCTGAACTCAACACTTGGCGAAATGGACTTAATACACATTCACAGAACTCTCAACCCCCAAACAACAGACTATACATTCTTCTCATCTGCACATGGCATGTACTCTAAAATTGACTACACAATTGGTCATAAAACAATCCTCAGCAAATTCATAAATAACTGAAATCATACCAACCACATTCTTGGACCACAGAGCAATAAAAATAGTAATCAATGCTAAGAAAATCACCCAAAATCATACAATTACAGGGAAATTAAACAACCTGCTCCTGAAAGACTTCTGGCTAAATAATGAAATTAAAGCAGAAGTCAAGAACTTCTTGGAAACCAGTGAGAATGAAGTAAAGCATAACAGAATCTTTGGGACACAGCTAAAGTAGTGTTAAGAGGAACGTTTATAGCAGCAAAGGTCCACTAACCAAAAAGTTAGAAAGATCACAAATTAACAACCTAACACTTGAACAAGAGAAACTAAAGAAACAAAAGCAGGCCAACCCCAAAGCTAGCAGAAGAAAGTCTAATATCCAGAATTTATAAGGAGCTTAAACAAATGTATAAGCAAAAAACTAAACAACCCCATTTAAAAATAGGCAAAAGACATGAGCAGACACTTTGCAAAAGCATGTGACCAACAAGCATAAGAAAAAACGCTCAACATCACTAAACTTTAGAGAAATGCATATCAAAACCACAATTAGACTCCATCTCATACCAGTCAAATGACTATTACTAAAAAGTCAAAAAGTAACAAATGCTGGCAAGGTTGTGGGGAAAAGGGGATTCTTATATACTGCGGTTAGGTATGTAAATTAGTTCAGCCATTATGGAAAGTGTTTGGCTATTTCTCTAAGAACTTAAAACAGAACTACTATTTAACCCAGCAATCCCATTGCTGGGTATATACCCAAAGGAATATAAATTGTTCTACCATAGAGACACATGCAAGTGTATGTTCATCACAGCACTTTCCATAGTAGCAAAGACATGGAATCAACCTATGTGCCCATCAGTGGTGGAATGGATAAAGAAAATGTGGTGCATACAAATCATGGAATACTAGGCAGCCATAAAAACGAGATCATGTCCTTTGCAGCAGCACAGGTGGAGCTGGAGGCCATTATCCTAAGCAAATTAATACAGGAAAAGAAAATCAAATATTGGAAGTTCTCACTTGAATAAAGAAATAACATATAATGAATGAAAGTAATTTTCTCTGAAAATATTTAAGAGAAAATTAAAAGTTAAGTTAAAAAGGTAGGACAAATCAGTATTGCAGTATATTAAGCTTATTTAAAGTAAATCTGTTTCTACAATTTGCATACTTTTACATGCCAGTGAACGTTCGGAAGGGTACAGAATAAAATGCTAACATGCATTGCTCCTGGGAAACAGGATCAAGATTGTGAGACAAGAGAGATAGATTTACTTTTAATATATAACTTTTGAATTATTGGTCCTTGTTCCAGGCACGTTCTTTTCAGTTTTAAAAAGCTGGCTAAAGTGTATACGTATTTTTCTCTGTATGTAATATTTGAAAATTGAAAGTCAATCTGAAAGTTTCATAACAAGATAAAAATATTATAGTTTTCTGTTTTGTAGAATTGCTGTGGAATTTTTTTCATCAAGCTCTTTTGGTATTTTTCTGATTTTCTCAATAAGCATGCATTACATTATAGTAAGCTTTAAAAGTAGTTAAAAGTTACATAGATATAAGTTGAGGCAAATGATCTCCTTATAGAACAGCTTGCTCAAGCTGTGTATTGTAATTCCTGGAAGGAACAGGATGATACAAAGAGAACATTTGTATTCTTGAGATTCATATATCCTGGCAACTAAAAGTAAGGATTAATAGATAAAGTTTCTCATGCTAACAAAATGTGATAAATCTCTAGGTTTTATTGGAGAATAGAGAACTAAGGGAGGAGAAGAGATTAAAAAAAGGTTTTATAGCTTGATACAGGTTGGTACCTCTATATCCCCTCCTGGATCCACAGCACTTACGGAACTCTGAACTCTTTGCTGAGTGCTGTAACAAACAGCAGAATCTGGGCAGGGGACTGAGATTGAGCAAAGAGATGGGAGTGAAAGTGGAAATATGGAGGCAGAGTGAGGGTGACAGTATGGTCTGTGTGGGCCATGACCCTAGGGAGACATTGTGACCTGCTACAGTATTAATCTATTCTTACACACAGTGATTTGCAAAAGAGTCTTTATTGATACTTTTCCAAAACTTCAGGCTCTCCAGAATAATGCGTACCATTGTGCTTCTCCTCTCTAATTATAGCTTTATTTACAACATGATACTCAGATAGGAGGATATTGGCAGTCTAATTCCCTCATGGGCAACAAAGTTGTCCTATGCAAACACTTTGGTGACAGCAAAAATGCTAAGTTTTTGGAGTTGTGAATCAGGAAAGATGCAGTGAGCTTTGTTATTGCTAAGCAAGACCTTCATTGCCACCTCTTTGTCACCTTGCTTTCACTGCCCTGCCCAATGCACTCTGGCTTCTGGCTTCCCCAAACGTTACTCAGCTGCAGCTGATCTCATCCTGGTCTCAATCACCTCTAATTTTCAAGCTGGGAAATGGCATTTTAAATTCTTCATCTTATTGGATCACTCTGAATAATTTGGCACTCCTGACCACTTTCTTGTTTTGAAAACTAAAGAGAGGTGTTCCCAATTGGTCCAACACCAGTTCTTTGCCCATTCTAGATGCTTACTCTGGGAAATCTGAAACACTGAGATATAACTCCCTTATATCCTTTCAAGTTTCCACTGCATCCTAATATCTCTTCTTAGCTCAAGGCTCATAATTCTAAATACATAATGATAGTGTGATCCAAAAACCTTACAGACATTCAAATCTCATATTTTTAAATTGTGCAAATTATCTTCCAAAAAATACACTTCTCTATTTTTATTTCTTACTAATTGTGAGAATCATCTTACCAGTCTTCCAAGCTAGAATGCTAGAGGCTTCCTTCTCTCCTCTGTTTCTTCTATCCACTGCCTTACTCTAACCCACCTGTATATTACAGGGGTCACCATCTGGCCTCAAACCACATCAGCTTCCTACCACTACTTCTGAGAGTGTAAGATTCAGCCCCACTGACCATCTCTCTGGCCCCTGAAAACAGCTCATTTTGTAATGACACATGATGCCCTTAAATATGTTCTTTTATCTGCCTAAAATAACATTTGCTGACTTGTCCAACTGGTGGAAATGTACATGTCTTACCAGAGTTATGTCACATATACCTCCTGCCGCATGTCTTCTCACATCTATACTTCAGGAAGAATTAAATATTATTGCAATTCTGGTTTCACAAAATATTATATATAGTTGTATTAATTTCCATTCCATTGTATTTTCATTGCTCCTTTCATGACTTTATTTTCCATAGTTTCATTAAAACAGGAATTAAATCAACTTGAGAGGCTTTCCAAGAATATAAAATAGATGAAAGTGATGAAAGAAAATATGTAGATATGGAGGACAGAAAACACACATCTAACTAAGGATTCCAGGTTATTTTTTCTCTGCAAGAAATCAAAATAACAGGAAGAGAAGAAATAACATAATTACAGAAAATTTTGTGGAGCTGAAAAATGTTTACTTATGAAATTGGAAAACCTCAGCACATTCTTGGCAATACTAATAAAGAATTTGCATGTTATTTGGGTAAAATATAAGATAGCAAGAAGAAACAAAACATCAGGCTAATTTTCATTTTTCTGCCATAGTTATAATTTTTGAAGGAGAAATGTTGAGATATAAGTATTTTATTCACAGACAATTAGTGTTTCCTATGTGAAAGCAATAGAAAAATATCATCAGATAGTCAAGGGTTCAGAAAATAGGTTGTAAACATTTTGAAAAATGTCCTAAGATGTAGTTCATCTTAAGTGTGCTATGAATGAAAATAAATGCTCAAAATAGGATGAGTAAAGATGGTGGGTGGCCAGTCTGAAGCAGCTGCTATGGCGACACCAGCTGCAGCAGGGGACGTGTGGCCAGAGCCACATACTAGGAGGAGCCTGCCAACAGAGACAAGCAGGAGTCCCACCCCCTACTGAGTTGGCAGGGTAGGAGCACTGCCCTGCCAGGTGCAGCTGCAGCCACCCAGCTGCAGCTGCAGACTGGGCATCTATGTGCTCTCAGAGACCCAGGAACCCCACCCCCAACTCCTGCAGGCTCAGAAGTGCCTGCTCCCTCTGTCTGGCCTCTCCCTGCTCCTGGCACCCACTGTGATTTTGGAGCAAAGTTGAGGCCAGTCCAGGTGTTGTCATGATCTGACCAGTTGTACCTGTGCTTAGGGCAGTGCTGACATGCCAGTCCCCTGCCATCTGGGTCCCCTCTGGACTTTGGGAACCAATAAGCATGGGAGAGAGGCTGAGGGAGTGCTGAGGGCAGCATGGCACGGGCTGCAAGTACCCCTCAGCACAAACAGCCTAGGCACCATGGGCATTATGGACAGCGGGTTGGTGGGAACAGGAGGCAGGAGGGCTCCTGGGTGGAAAAAGGCAAGTCCTTGATGAAGCCTTGCCTTCAAGCCAGGGCAGCCTGAAGCCGGGTGGCCAGGCTGACAGGTTCATGAACTGGAGTGAGAACTTACGGTGTTTTTTTCTGGGCTGCCCATGGCTGCCCATGAACCAGTCAGCATGCACTTCCTCCCATCTGAGCCCATAAAAACCCCAGACTCAGCCAGACTTGGAGAGAGGTTGGGATTACCAGCTGGGAGAAGGAGCTACCCACTTTGGGTTTCCTTGACTCATTAGGTCCAACTACCTGTGGAAAGGTGCTAGGAGCTACCGACTAGAGGTCTCTTCTTGTTGGAGGGTCTCCTCTCCACCAAGAACTAGACACTCCTTGAGATGACCAGCATGCCTGTGGAAAGGAGCTGCCCACTTCAGGTCTCCTGAGAGCCGTTCTATTGCTCAGTGAAGCTTCTCTCTGCCTTACTGATTCTCCAGTTGTCTGCAGAATTTATTCTTCCTGGATGTGGAACAGGTTGCGGATGACAAGGGGAGAAGAGAAGAGCTGTGACCCTTTGGGGACCCCAGACGTTAGGGGCTCTCTGAGCCAGGGCTGTGACACCCTCCTTGGGGCTTTGTGGTTCCTGGTGTCTCCAGGCTTCCGGCACCACTGTGTTCCCCTCGTCCAGATGTGGATGCCCACAGCAGAAGCTGCATGCAGTACCTCTTGTCCAGCCACAGCCTTGAATGGAGCTGGCACATATACTGGCAGCTGGAGCTGCCCACCCCATCACAGCCACTGGTATGCTTGGCTGTATGCAGTGACAGGACCCTACACTGCCACACCCCTCACCACTTTGTGCCTGCTCGCCCTTGGCAGGTGTGGGATCCAGGCCAGTAGCACGAGCCAAGTGCAGCCTCCTGGGCTGAGTGGGTAGAAGGAGCCCAGCAGGTGTGAACAATACTCAGGCAGAAGACACTGCCAGCCATAGAGGTTTCCAGTTGGTGAAGCAACACTCCAGGGATACTGTGACAGTAATATTATAAAAGGACTGATAGATTAGCCTACAAGACTATCACCAGCTATGATGCACTGTTATCACAAAAGTTATAATAATGATTTGTACCTCCGAATCACAAATGTTTGAAATGATCACCAAAATGAATTTTAAGAAAGCATATAGCATGATAATGGCTTTCATAGTGGTAGCTGGTTAAAAATTAAACTAAAACAATTGAAAGTTCTTTAATTTATTCTTGAAATAAACTGGTGATTTGGTGCAATTATTCCCAACGTAACAGAAACATCTCTGTTAGAATGTATCTCCAGATTTATGATTTCTATTAAATAATATCACTAAATAATATTACAACTATCTTTTTTTAGTACTGTGGTAGAGACTGTTTTGCTCAGTAAATCCACGATAACCTTTTCTTAGTCACACAGCAGAACTGTAGTTTCTAGGTTCCTTGCTTTAGGTATTGCCACATGACTGGGTTCCAGAACAAATAGAAGATTCTGGAAGCTGGACTGACATCCCACACTTCCAAGTTTGACCCATACAGAACATGGAGTCCTCTCTTTACTCACCTACGGTTGAATGGAGAGGAATCCAAGCATATAGACGAAGACAGAGCCTCAAATATAAAGAAACTTTGTAGCTGAACGACTGTGTAGAACAGAGTCCCTCATTAGACTGTGAATTTTTGAGTGTTAAGCCACTGAAATTATGGAAACACTTGTTAAAGTTTCTGTTTATTCTTACAAATACAAATACCTGAAAAAACAATAAAAGTAAGATCCAGGCTACTGGCCTGGATCCCACACCTGCCAAGGGCGAGCAGGCACAAAGTGGTGAGGGATTTGGCAGTGTAGGGTCCTGGCACTGCATACAACCAAGCACACCAGTGGCTGTGATGGGGTGGGCAGCTCCAGGTGCCAGTACAATAAAAGTGCCATTATGGTTGTGGGTTGTTTTTTTTTAAATGCTTTTCTTCTTTCCATTTGTTCTCTGTATTCTATAGTTTCTTTTATTAGTAATTTAAGTGAAAAAGTCTAGAGTCTTGCATATGGCACTAAACTATATTTATTTTATATCATCTCAATTGCTCTGTGCTTGAGCTTCTTGTCATATGTTTTTCCCATTCCTAGAGGTCTTATCACAGTGCTAAATATGTGGTAGGAGTTTAGTAATTGATGTTAATTTATCTTATAATTAATTGTCTGTATGAAAGACTTACATATTTTGCAACTTGATATCAAAGCTTTCCTTCTGCGATGTTAAGGATTCAACTAACAAATGTTGAGTGCTCACTTTGGGAAAGTACAGTTGTGACAGTGGAGGTATGATTGGGAGCAAAACATCGTTCCAAATGTTAGGAAACTTACATTCAATGGGGAGATAGACAAAGGACAGACAAGCAAATAACAGGTAACATAATTTCAAGGAGCAATAACATCTATAGAAAAGAAAATTAAAGCAGAGTTAAAATGGGGAAGAATTCTAGGTGAGTGATGGGGTCTATTTTATTTTAGGCAGAAGTGGTGTCTTAGCAGAGACTGAAGAGTGATAAAGAAGTATATCTTGGTAATTTTGGGAGAAGAATGTCCCAGGGAGATGGAGCAGCTGGTGTAAAGTTCTCCAGGCAGGAAGAAGCTCAAAATGTTCATAGGAGAATGAGTTTGACCATAAGTTACAAAAAGAATGGGAGGAGATAATATCAGAGGGACAGTGACTTATGAGCCATACTAAGGAGTTTAGACTTTATACAAGTACTAAGCAGTGTTAGAGTTTCTTTACACATAAAACCTCATTTGATTGTTACAACAAACCTGAAAGTTTCAGGTTGCAGTTTCAAATAAAAAGAAGGTGGTAGGAGAATTTAAGTAACATACTCCATTGTGAGAAACAATCTGCATTATATACCAAACCTGATTGGCACGAAAGCCTGTTTTTCAAATAACCACTGAAAAATACTGCCTCCAGATTTTGGCTAAGCCTTTCAATGTATGTACAGTACCTCGAATATTCAAGATTGTGACCAATCCTCTTCTAAATCTTTCTGGTACTCTACAGCATTTATTCTTCCTTGAGGAAAGTCAAAAGTTTCTCCTTCACACAAGAAAGTTGAAGGAATTTGCTGTGAATCAATGACAACCAATTTCTTTCCCTTTTTCACTAGGGCATACGGGGGTTTAGGGGGTGTATTAGGTGTATTAGTCTATTCTCACACTGCTATACAGAAATACCCAAGGCTGGGTAATTTACAAAGAAAAGAGGTTTAATTGGCTCGTGGTTCTGTGGGCTGTACAGGAAACATGGTGGCGTCTGCTTCTGGGGAGGCCTCAGGGAGCATTTACTCATGGTGAAAGGCAAAGCGGGAGCAGGCGTTTTAGGCAAAGCAGGAGCAGGCGTCTTATGGCAGGAGCAGGAGGAAGAAAGAGAGCGGGGAGGTGCCACATACTTTTAAGCAGGCAGATCTTCGTGAGAACTCTATCACAAGACAGCACCACACGAATGGTGTTTTTTTTTTTTTTCTTTTTTTTTCTCTATCGCCTCCCCACCCCTCCACGAATGGTGTTAAATATTCATGCAGGATCCACACCCAAGATCCAATTACCTCCCACCAGGCCCCACTGCCAACATTGGAAATTACAATTCAGTATGAGATTTGGGTGGGGACACAGATCCAAACAACACCAGGAAGTTTGTTATAAAATTTTAAAATTTTACATTCTGTTTTTGTGCTATTTTAAAAAAAACCAGTTAACTATATCCTGGGTTATATGACCTCCTTAGACACAAGAACAACCTGGTGAATTCAGTGCCTATGTTAGCATTTATATTTAGGATGGTGCTGACACCCAAGCCAAGTCGTACTACTTTTTTGTTGGGTTAATGGAGGTGGAGGAGTGAGTGGCAGCCAGCACTGAAGTAATAACCACCAGCAAAATGAAGGGTAAGCAATGTTTAGGTGGCCAGTAGGAATGAATGTTTTTCCATACTTCAAGCTGAAAAAGGCATGAGAGAACAAAGCCATCACAGGATACACACGTCCTCCATGTCTGCCTAATAGAAGGTGAACTCAGCTCTCACTCCACAAGCAGCAATTTAGTTTTAGCAAAACAACACTAGTTGTCATATTAAACAACTATTTGTTTGAATTGTATTGGTCCTGAAGTTTTACCTATTTTGTAAATTCATTTTGGTTTTATAGTTGTAGAGGGCTGTAGCATTGATAATTTATACCTGCTTTATGTTACTAAATATTAAGAAGGCACTCAATAAAAATAATTTAAATACAAATTGGGATCTGCAGAAATGTTTCCTTTAAAAGAGATTCACACTTTTTTTAAATTTAAGAAATACTGATTTAAAATATACAACAAATGTAGAGGAGAGAATTCTAAATATATTTTGCTAACTTTGTTAGCATCTAACATATATACAAAACATGTAGCTCAAGCTAGATGACATGTAAATTTAACTACAAGGTTGTTCATTGGAGTGTACTTTA